GAAAAGAGCCCAAAACTAAATTCAGGATATACCACAATATGAATTGATTGCACATTTATATGTAAAATATCAATGATACCTGCTCCTTCCCTAAACTTTTTTTTTGATTGGCAAAGAAAGAACTTTATTGATGGAATAAACACGTACACAGTACAAAGCGAATTACATTAATAAATAAAAGGAAAGTGCAAAAGCATCACAATGGGCTAAATCATCCTAATGAGATTGGTACCAAAAAGCCCATCTTATCGTTTGCTAGCACCCCCAAATTGGTAAGAGACCAACGAGAAGACAGACCAACCAACACGACAACAATAGCACAGACCAGCAATTAAATCAGGGCCCAATAGCCAAGTAGCCACCCAACTCAGACAAAACTTAGCAAAGATGTTGAGATCCCTAAAATTAACAAAACAATAGCAAGGTTCAAAACAGGATGCTGAGAAATGAGTCACCATTTTTCCAAACGACTGAATGAGAATTTTTATCCCTGGACTATAAACTTATTGGCCTATAATGAAGGAAGCTGCCTGCTGACCCGTACCACCATACATGACTGTTTATCAATCTCGCTCTTTACTGAACAGAAGCATTAATTGCAGAGCATCAACCCATACCTAGCAGCTCAGCAATGATTTTTGGTCCACTGAAATTGATTCCATTCAAATACTACTACAAAAACAACCACTCGTTAAATATTCCCCAATTTACAAACTCAGACATTTACTAGAAAAAAGAAAAGTAAATAATAGAACCAATTCCAAAAACTTAAGTAAGAAAATCCCTACCCTTTTCTATCCAATGACATACCGGTTCAAAAATTAAAAAATAAAAGAAAATCATAAGGTGAAACTGCCCATATCAATAACATAAATTTCCAAAGATTGTAACTATCATAACAATAAAAAACATATCCCACATGATAAAAAAGAGAACACCCCAAAGGCCCCAAACTCCCAAATCCAACTAGTCCACAAAGTCTTCAATATCAAACCTACCTACCATGCACATTTCATTTTTACTTTTGAGGAGGGAACTAAGCCATCTTTCACTTAGAATTTCTTTTACCAACCACCTTCTATTACATCAGCTAAACCTCACGCATTCCGATTGGTTATTCTTATGAAGGTCTGAAATTGGACCTTCCTTCTTATACCCTTCTTCTCACAACTGTTTCCCATTTCAACAGAGAAGTTTTAAAATAATAAAAAACCGATAGAAACCTGCCTAATCAATCACTTCACTCTCATGGAGGAACGGAAGTAAATCCCTACGAACACAAGAATCTCATGCATAACAAGTAAATGATAATAATTTTGGAATGAAATTTAGGAGTGGTTTGAGATATTCTAAATAAGTGCACTTTTTGACTTTTTATATAAAAAAAAAATGTGTAGCAAAGTAGAAAAAGTGGGTAGAAAAGTAGAGAGGAAATGTTGATAGATGTTAATTGATGTGACTCAAATAAGTGTATGTATGCACAAAAAAAAAAAAAAAAGTGTACTTTTTTAGTGCATGCCAAACACCTACTTAGTGGAATGCAGCGTTGAGGTCTGTCTTGTTTACACTGATTCCCACTTTTTGTTAGACATGCCACGGTGAGCAAGAACATGTCACATTTAGACTAACTTGGGGGAGAACTATTTATTTGGGTTTTTGGAATTATGGAACTCTTAACATTAGAGTATGCCATAATGGAAAATAAAATAATAAAAATAATTATCTTTGAAGTTATCAAAAAAAAAGTGCCTTCAAACAAGCTTATCAAACATCAAACACCACAATAGGATGTAAGCTTCGAAGTACATCTTTAGCTTGAACGTAAAAAAACCAACAGCCAAGAAATAGTGAATTTACTTAATTCTAATTATAATAGTTTTGCTCAATAATTTTGCGTTTGTATTTTCTCAGTCCAATTGAAAATGGTTATTAACAATTTGGACAGAAAATGTTGTACAAAAATACATGGTGTCATTATAATGTTAATTGATTATTTGGCCCTTATTTGGAGTTTGATTTTTGGGCACTATATGGGTTAATCCAATTCTATCTAAGTATACGCATGAATGTATAAATTATCTCCCTCATTCTTTCTCTTGACAATTTTCCCAAGCAATGGCAAACGGCGTCCACCACCATGTCAACCCCCGTCCAATTGTTGACCCTTACGCTGTGTTTGGTTGGAGGATTTGGGGAGGGATTTGGAAAGGGAAAGGGAAAATGTGTGTAAAACTAGATGAAATATAAGCATGTTTTATTTACATTTCACCTATCTTTTCCATTTCCCTTTCCAAATCCCTCCTCAAATCCCACAACCAAACACAGCATTAGTCCCTACAGCATCTCCATAAAAAAAAAAATAATAAAAAAAAAAAAGAAAAAGAAAAAGAATTACCATAGTCCTTATGGTCTTACCTTAGTCCTTATAGTGAGAAGTCTTTTCTTAGTTCTATAGCTAAGTTGGGCTAGATAAATTATAAAGGGGGCTTTCACATAGTAACACTAAGAAAAAAAGGATCCCCCTACCTACTACATGCATGAGCCAGCTTCAAAACAAATGGAAGAAAAATTAGTTAGACGTATGTACAGTGTAGTAAGGCAATGAAGACCCAAGAACATAACCAAAGATTTAAATGCTTTGCTTCAGTAGCTAGTAGAAAGAAGGAATCCAACTTCTTACATATTCAGTCCTTCCATAACTTTTTAGTAATGTTTATTTCATGGTTCTTTGACTTCCACAGTTCGATGTATAATAAATTTTGGAAAAAGAAAAGCATTCAAACGTCAGGATTTGATGTGGTTTAAGATGCTCCTTTTAGATGTTAAATGGATCGGTAGTACAATTCCGAATTTGTTTGGGTATCACTTCCCAGTAAATATGATTGATTCTCAGCAAATAAATGAGTTCACATAATTTAATTGTTGTGATTATGCCAATGTAGGAAAAAATAAAAGCGTACATGTTGTGTTTACTTTTTGGTTATGCTCTGCTTCATCTTTTCTTGTAGATCTATGGCCAAGCTTGAAATGGTCTTCTATTGAAGATGTGAAAACTGTTGTAGCATAGTCAAATACTAAAGATGGTTTGCAAAACACTTCAAAGGGACCATGTTTGTTAAGGGCATTGTTTGGCCAAGACCCAATTTCTCTCTAGTCCTCTTTTGTGGATTTTTGTGAGAGAAAAGATGTAGAAAAAAAAATTATAGAATAGGAGAGTGAGAGATTACATGAAAATTGAACTAGTGATGCGGTTGACAGTGGCTATAGAGGCCCTAAGTTCAAGTGGGAGACAAAGAGATGGAGACAAAAGGTCAAGCAGGTATGTTCTTTTGTTCTCCATCACAAGAACAAAGAAGGAAGGGGTTAAAGCAAGGAGAAAGAAAATCAAGCCATTGGGGTGAAGGACACAATCACTGCCAAGGATTTAACCCATTGGGGTGAAGGACACAATCACTGCCAAGGATTCAAGCCATTGGGGTGAAAAGACACAATCACTGCCAAGGATTCAAGTCATTTATTGCTATTAGGCTAGAAGGGGCAATGATACCTGCAAACAAACTCTGACGCCTTGCGTGTTGCCTGCAAAAGAGGGAAAAGACGTGAACTAATTGCCACACAAATAAAAAAAAATAAAAAAATAAAAAAATCGTAATTCGTACAATTAAAGTTCACTTGCACGAATCACGAGGGGGCAGGCTTTGATTAGATTAGATTAAAAAAAAAAAGAACAAAAAGAAAAAAAGAAACAAACAAGTCTGTTTATATTTTTTTTTAGGCTTTGATTAGATTAGATTTAAAAAAAAAAAAAAAAAAAAAAAAAAAGAAACAAACAAGTCTGTTTATATTTTTCTGGCTTTGATTAGATTTAAAAATATATATATATATATATATGCTGTTTGTATTTGGGTTTAGCAAAATCTGCTAAATAAACAAATATTTGCTGCTAAAAAAAAAAAAAAAAAAAAAAAAAAAAAAAAAGTGCTACTAAGGAGGTTTTATATGTTTATTTTACCTATTGTACATTTGGTATATACTCAAGTTGGTACTCTGAATATGTTGATTCAGGTGCTGGTATAAATGTTTCACTTTCTTCTGTAAAGATTCTCAGTTTATGCATCTGTGAGTTTTTCTTAACTTGGAGAAGAGTGCTTTTATATCTTAACTATCTTTATATTCATGCAGATTTATATTGGGGTTCACCTAAAAAGGGCAAAGGGTGAAGTCCTGCTGTATTTGTCTGTTAATTGAATTTCAATGGCATAGACTTGAAAAACGGTTGAAAAGAACCAGTACTTCGTATTGGAGTTATTATGAATGGGCAAAATCTAAACAAGTCTGTTTATATTTTTTTAGGCTTTGATTAGATTAGATTAAAAAAAAAAAAGAAAAGAAAAAAAAAAAAAGAAACAAACAAGTCTGTTTATATTTTTTAGGCTTTGATTAGATTAGATTAAAAAAAAAAAAAGAAAAGAAAAAAAAAAAAAGAAACAAACAAGTCTGTTTATATTTTTTAGGCTTTGATTAGATTAGATTAAAAAAAAAAAAAGAAAAGAAAAAAAAAAAAAGAAACAAACAAGTCTGTTTATATTTTTTAGGCTTTGATTAGATTAGATTAAAAAAAAAAAAAGAAAAGAAAAAAAAAAAAAGAAACAAACAAGTCTGTTTATATTTTTTAGGCTTTGATTAGATTAGATTAAAAAAAAAAAAAGAAAAGAAAAAAAAAAAAAGAAACAAACAAGTCTGTTTATATTTTTTAGGCTTTGATTAGATTAGATTAAAAAAAAAAAAAGAAAAGAAAAAAAAAAAAAGAAACAAACAAGTCTGTTTATATTTTTTAGGCTTTGATTAGATTAGATTAAAAAAAAAAAAAGAAAAGAAAAAAAAAAAAAGAAAAAATCTATGATGGCCTAAAAAAAAATCTATTGTAAAAAAAATAAAAATGTGGCAAGTTGGAGGCCCACAAAAGAAAATGCCCAATTAAAAAATGGTGGTCTAGAAAAGGTCCATGGTGGTTTAGAAAAATCCATGATGGCCTAGAAAACAATTTACTGCAAAAAAAATAGTGGCAAGTTGGAGGCCCACAAAAGAAAAGGGCCCATTAAAAAATGGTGGCCTAGAAAAGGAAAAGTCCATGATGATCTAGAAAAATCCATGATGGCCTAGAAAAAAAATCTGCTGTAAAAAAAATTGTGGCAAGTTGGAGGCCCACAAAAGAAAAGGCCCAATTTAAAAAAAATGGTGGCCTAGAAAAGAAAAGGTCCATGATGGTTTAGAAAATCCATGATGGCCTAGAAAACAATTTACTGCAAAAAAAATAGTGGCAAGTTGGAGGCCCACAAAAGAAAAGGCCCAATTAAAATGGTGGCCTAGAAAAGAAAAGGTCCATGATGGTTTAGAAAATCCATGATGGCCTAGAAAACAATTTACTGCAAAAAAAATAGTAGCAAGTTGGAGGCCCACAAAAGAAAAGGCCCAATTAAAATGGTGGCCTAGAAAAGGAAAGGTCCATTATAGCCTTAAAAAAAGAAGAAATGGTGGCAAGTTGGAGGTCCACAAAAGGAAACGTCCAATTAAATCTTGGACCTTACTCATGACCCTTAAAAAAATAAAAAAAATTTAAAAAAAATAAAAATAAATAAATCAAGTCCACAAAAAGGACCCATGCAACAGAAGTAAATGGCCCATGGACTATAAAGGGCAATTAACCCTTTATTTAAAAAAAAAAAAAAAAAGAGGCTAGGGACGAAAGCAAAGAAATAATCCCATCCAAGACCTAAAGATCATCCACATAAAAGTGCCAAATTGTCGTGACTCGCACAGTTAAGAAAATTCACTTGTGCAAGTCACGAGGGGCATTTGTTGGCACATAAATTTTAAACCAAATTTATGTTTAAATTTCAAATACAGTCAATGACACACATAGAACCTACAATAAGATTGTTGTAGGCAATCACTTCCCAAAATGATTAATTTGCTCCGTTGAAGTGTATAAATAAAACAACGTCGTATCTTAACGACGTTATTCAAGATGCTCAAATGACACGTGGAGCCTACGAAAGATGACACCTGTAGAGCCTACAGCAAAGACACCACACAGGATGAAACCCCAAAGATCAATTCGGTTAATCAGATATACGATTAATCAGATAGCGCTATTATTCAAATGGCGTTATCATATCATTCAATTTGAAATTCAAAATGAAGATGAAGCGTTCCTATCACCTGATGGCCCTCCATAAATATGAGGACCATCACACAAGACTGGGGATTGGAAAACCAAAAGGGAAAAGATCTGAGAGAGAGAGAGAAAGAAATTGAGAGCTAAAGAAGTCATTACAAAAAAAAGAAGAAGAGAAGCCTAGAGAACTGAAGAGCCTACGCTAATGGCGATGAATAGGTAAAAGGTTCCAAACCCAAACTGTATTTTGTATTCAAGGGTTCAAAACCCATAACAATCTCAATAAAATATTTCTTTTTTTTAATTTGTCATTTGTTGTTTATTTTGTTCTTCATTAATCGGAGGTTTCATTTGTATAAAATGTGTAATTAACGATCTGAAATACAGATCGAAAATAAGAACCTGCTATTCAAATAATCAACACTGTTTAGTCCAAAAACTAAACAGTGGACATTTTTAACATAAATTTTGAAATGTGTTTAAACACTTCATGTTTTAAAATTTGTGTCTACAGTTACTGACATTTTTTTTAAAATTTATGTCAATCTAAGATGTCATTTAATATGTTGCCTACATGTTGTATCCCCAAATTCAGTTTCAAATTTTTGTTTAGATGTGGGAAGGTAGAGATAATATCTTTATGCTTACTAAATATGCTATTAAATGCTTTTATTGTTATTTTGACATCTCCGTTTCATGTTGGCCAGAAAAATTACTTGGACGTCTACAGGTTTGAATCATGGGGAGGTTCAATGATCCCAACATATACTTTTGGGCAGCAGGTTTGCTACAAAATCATCTCTCGTTGCCTTGTATTGCATTTTCTAGTTAGATGTTACTAATTATTTCTCAATTTACCTGTATATGCTTCATCACTTTTTTGATAACCTATGGGGATTTGGATTGATGATCTCTTATTTGTTTGATGACTTATTTCTGCAACATTTTATTTCTTCCATCGTCCATGCTAAATATCTAATTGATCTGTAAATTATATCTATATACTTAGCTTTTAATGCTAATAAAAAAGGTTTCATTCAGTCGTCAAATATCCTTTTAAATTACTGGAGAGAACACATGATTTTGGCTTTTGAAATGGCTGGAAGTTGAAATGGAGAATAAATTATTTTGGGGTTAGTAGAACAGCAAAGAGATGAGAGAATGGATTTCTTTTTCTCCATTATTCTATTTCTAAATATAGCTGGTGACATTAGCCTGTGTTGCCACATGTATAATATGAAGTTGTGGCCTGCTTATTCTTTAGTGAGAAGTAATTTGTATTTTTGCTCGGGTATAAATGAAATCATCTGTCAAGTCTTTAGTCAAACATTGATATATTCTTGTCACACAGAATTGGAATGTTATACATGCTTGTATGTGCTTTTATCGTTAAAATAAACACATAAACGACTGTATAACTTGATTCCTAAGTAGAAAAGAGTATTTTGATTCACAGTAATTAACAGATCCCATGTTCTTGGATTACTTAAAGACAATTTCAATATGATAGCATACTCAAAATTCTCTCGTCTTCTTTATTATTCTATAAAGAACATTAGCTAAGCTGAATGCTCTATTCCAGTAATATTCCTTTTTTACAAGTCATAACATTGAAGGAAAAAAATAAAAATGAACTAATCAAATCTAATTCTTAGTAGCAGGAATCGTTCAACTTGCTCACGATTCTTCCTCAAAAGCGCGATTCTGCGCTTCTGACTCAGATTCGCAGAAGAATCGCGAGTTTGATGATAGAGAAACGCGAATCTGATCACGGATCTGTCGTCTTCTCTTCCTCTCGATCGGTCTGTCCCTCCCTCTTCTCTCGATCTCGATCTCATGACTCGTCTTCTCTAGATCGATCGATCTCGTCTCCTCTCTCCCTCGATCTCGTCTCGTCCTCCTCTCGATCGATCGATCGATCGCCTCCTCCTCTTCACTCTCTGTCTCTGCCTCTTTTCTCTCTTCTCTCTTGTTTTTGTTTATTTTATTTTATTTTATATTTTATATAAATATTAAATGTATTTATAATTATTCTAATATATTTTCTATTTATTTATTTTACCTTTATAAATATAAATAAATGTAATGGGTTATATATATATATATTAAGTTAATATTAATTTTTATATCCACAAAATAAATAGATTTTAATTCTAAGTAAAAACACAAAATAAAATATAATTTATAACAAGTTATGATAGTTATAATATATTTCAAATATTAATTGGAGAAAAAAAAATTATATCTCACAATATATTTATATATATTATTTAAAATATATACATATTTTTTATATAATATATATAAACGCTCCCAACCTACGACTCTCTTAGGGGTCACGATTCCACGCTCCCGCTCCCGCTTCGTGCAACTAATTGCAAGACAAAATTGCCCGTGAAGGAGAGTATTAGATATCTCGATATACATTGTTGGACTCATTTCCTAAGAGCTTAGGCTTTTAGGAAAATTGGTAACTTAACATTAACGCCCTAATTAATTTTTTTAAAAAAAATGTTTATATAGATAAATTAAAAATATTTCAATAAAAAAAATATATAAACACTCCCAAATTACGACTCCTTTACATGGCCATGCTTCCCCGCTCCCGCTCCCGCTCCCGCTTCGTGCAACTAAGATCTAATTTAAGTAGAATTCCATCTAATTTGTTCTATAAGCTTTTAATATTTAATGAAAAACCATCATGTCAGTATTACCAACATGAACACTGCCACTTCACTGTAATTGCCAGCCTGTCACTTCTGCTTTGTAAAATCACTACACCCTCTACTGCCAATAGTTTCTGACAGCATTATTCTGCAACTACAACCATGCCACAACTGTCCATTTTACTATCCGATCACAAACACTGCCACCGTGGTCATCACCATTACATTGCAATCAACATTGCCACATTCCTCACCACCAGTGCTGTCATTTGATGCTTTGTGATCAAGTTATAAATAAAGTAAAAATAGAAGAGATGTGATGTGATGTGTTCAAGAAAACTGAACTATGATCATTGTGAAAGTACTTTGTTTGGGGAAAAAGTTTAGTGGTTTTGATGCAACCAAATCTAGAAACTGAATGTATTAGATAGAGATAATCCCCAAATCTAGGGTACAAGAGCTAGGGCTTTGAAATTGCAATCTCAAAATGATCAAAACTGAGTGCTAGTGACAATTAGCCCCTTATCTATAGCTTCTGGCCATCCACTAACACAACCACCACTAGGACAGTTGTAGAACAGCTGTGTAAGAGCTGGAGCTGAAGTAATACAACAACAAACCCTTATTCATTATAAAATCCTACTGCATCAGGTTTATTGCTAGAAATTGAAAGATTTGGTTGACTCCTTAACAATGTCGGATATTATAAGCATCAGTTTGAGGAAGCCTTTTGAAAAATACATTAGAATGTGTTAACTGCTTGCTGTGTTACGTGGACTCAGGTATGAGCATTGAGTACGAGTATGTTTTATGTCAGATTCATTTAATTACTATGTCCAAAGACTCAAGGATACAAAAATCTTTTATATTTCTCATTATTATTCTTTAATTTTACAGGATAAAATGGGGTTTACAAGGTGACATAAAACATTTCATGCATAATATGGGAGGTTTATGCATATAGCTATTTGGAAAACTCGAATTGTTCAACAAGCTTGTTGGGTGAATATCCAAATACATGTCGAACACATTTTCCATACCTTTATCCAAATGTCAATTGTTTGGCACAAATGCTTCTCTTATTTAGAAGAATTCATTTAAGATAGAAAAAGAGATGAAAAAAGAAAAGATGAAATTGAGATAAGGAAGCAAATTTATGCTCTTTTGTTTGAATTGCACTAGTTTGGGTTGGTTCATTAATGCATCTCCATGATGATATAGAGAGAGATTGAGGAATAAATGTTAATTTCCTACTTTCTGTTTCTGGTAATATTGCAGTTTATTCCAACAACATTGACTCTTGATTCAGGAGTTACGAGGCCACCATCACTTTTAAGTGAAACTGATTTACTAAATTGTATGGACAAGGTGAGGAAATCTTATAGGATATTTAAACTTAAATTGATTTGCTTTTGCTTCTGTGCTTTGTTTTGTAGTTTAAATTCACTAGTCATGAGTTTTCATATGTTGGTTATTATGGTTTAACAAATACTTTTTTCCCCCCCTTAATTTTTTAGGCGGGCATTGGCGCAGATGCCACAATGCATGATCACATAAAAAAGCTGCTTGATCGATTTTATGCCACCAAAGACTCCAACACTCGTTTCTCACCAACCAATCTTGTATGTTCATACAAGTTCAACTATATATGCAATATTATTAACCAATCTTTTGTGCATTATATTTCCTCTTCCCTCTAATTGTAGTTTCAAACGCCCCACCCCTTCCCCCGTAATTACGTGCTTGTTTTTTGTTGGGGAATTGCAAATCAGTGGGAAGATGCGAAAGTAGTTTAAAAACATGGAGGTGTAAGTGGATCTGTGCTTTTGTGCAAATGAAAACTGTGGCTTTATTTGCATCAGAGCATGTACCCCACTTGCTCCCTCCT